ACTTGTTGACCGCCGAGAATCAGTTGATCGCACCGATGGTCGTGAGGCTGAGGCGGACGTGGAGTTTGTTGGCCGCCGTGTTGTCAGCGCTGGGAGTGGTGTCAGTGTTGGTATGTGTGGTGTATTTCCTGCTGGTATTTCCCGTCGCCGTCGGCACCACTGTATTGGGCTATCAGATACTGTTCGGCCTATTCCTGGCGTTTGTCACCAATTTTGTGTTTTTATTGCCGGTCTCCACATCCGTCTGCGCTCTCAGACGATTGGGTAATGTATTGTTTTGTATTGTAATAAATAGTTTTATTTTGTAGTAATTGTTATAATTTTTATAATATATTAATATTAAATAAATATATTTATATTTGTCTAGTTCTGTATGGTAGTCTAATATTTAACAATAGTTTAATTAAAAATACTATTATTATTTGCGCACAACTTATATTATTAATGTGCTAGGAGAGTTGTATACAAATTTTACTATGTAAACTTTTGTAAGGTTTTTTAAAAATTTTTAAAACATTCATAACCAAACCGTAATTATATTCTTAACATTATTTATCTACAAATTATTTTTAATGATATCTTTGTAATTTGGATAATAAGAGACTATGAGTATTCAATTTCTTTGATTTTTAATTATAATTATATTTAAAAAATAATTTATTTATTAGAATTTTATAAATCATGATTAATCATTAATGATGACAAATTACTAATTAATGATTACTAAAACTATATAACAGGTCTGTCCCTATCGTACGCCATAATAATCAGCGGACTTCTGGTCAAAGTGCTAAACACGTGGCGACTAATGGTGATTAAAAACAACCATGCTCAACCATTACGACTGTCATCGCCCACAGCACTCGTATTTATATCATCGGGTTTGGTGTTCCTACAGCTCATTCTGACCACTATATGGCTGTTCACATATCGACCCCAACCGGCCCTCTATGACGGCCAGTGGCGCTGTTCAGCGCACCCGACGTTCCCGTTGTTTGACT